TCTGATCACAATGGCATCTTGACATTTCCCTGAGGACACCATGCTTCGCGGCCGCCTCTTCCAACCGACACAGCTTCTTCCAGACGATCAAGAAGCACCGCGCCGACACTTTCTCGCCATCCAAGCTTTGTGCTTGGAGCCCCCTGCGCTCGTGCCAAGAGCTGCCACTGCACCTACTACACAGCAGCGGATCCGCACGGAGCAGGCCATGTCCGAAGAGGCACATGTGAGATCATGCGAGCATGCTACAATACACTGCGTAGTCTTACGCTCCATGGCCAGACCAGCCAGGCGTCGCAACATGCCGGCCAGATCTGGTTCAGTCAGCGGCTCGCATGAACGCTACTGAAGGCCGCGTAAAGCTGAACACGAGTGTGAGGCTGTCGAGTTCTGGCCACAAGAAGCAAGCCAATTTGTACCTTGTACAGTGTCGGATACGCCGTTTGACAAGATCCTCGTTCTGGCTGGGGTGTGGACGCCCAATGGCGGTCCACGAATAGAGTCTCGCAAACACAGGTTGCCCGAGCCTTCCAGCCATGCAGGATTTTGAAGATCCTTCTGTCCTTCAGTCGTTTCAGTCACGTTTGTGCAGATGCCTTTCACATTGCATCGAGCCTTTGTCGAAGCTCACCTGGAGTTGCAAAAGGTGCCGGTGCTATCGCCTAACATTCTCAACGTGTGTTGCCGTTCGAGCTGTGTGAAGTCAGAGTCAGTGTCACCTGGGTTTGATTTTTAGGTCCAGCAGGCAGAGTCCAATGAGAAGCTGGTTGAGTCCATGGGTGGGGTCAAGGCCTACAGATGATTACAATCAGTGTGTGCGTCGTACGTTCATGAATATTCAGCAGACAGGCAGCGAACAAGCGCTTGTTAGAGCAGATCCGCCCCTTGGCGGACCAAGGACCACCATAGGCCACCAACTGCTTTGCACATCGTCCTGTGCAAGGTGGGCAATCTGCAGAGATCGCGCAGATGATGCAGCAGCGAGTTGCGGATGAGGACCCTAGCATGTACCACTTGTGAGAGGTAGACCAAATGAACCTTAGAGCCTTAGAAGAAGTCTTTGAGGAGCGCCTCGAGGCAGCTGTCAGGAGGCGACTTGGGGACTCGGGCGCTTCGGGCACGCGGGGTTTCCTTTCCTGTGCTGGAAAGGCACGAGGCCCAGCGCGAGACCGCCCGTCAAAATCTGCAGCAACAGGCCGCTGTGCCATGACGTGCCATGTATCCAAGCGTTCTACTGCCCTCCAGCCCGCCACCCGAGCCCAGCATTAGCAACAGACGTGGCCGAGCCAGGTCGTGTCAATCCGGGACAGCAGCACTGAGCGCCAATGGCAGGCGGTGTCAGGGCGGTGGAGGAAGAGTTCGTTCGATTTTGGACGAACAAATCGAACAAGAGATGAATCGTTCCGTTAGCAGTTAACAAGCAGATGAGTCCTCCACCTCGGCTTTGGCGCCATGCTATAGAGAGCTGAAAGGTGCAGCAGCGCCTGAGCGAGAAGCTCCAGTGCATTCCTGAGATGTAATCCGTACAGCCCTTCCGCAGATGAGGGAGCCCATTGGACCGGACTGAAAGTGGCCAGGAAGCTGGAGTACGGCTCCGTGAAGCTGCGAAGCGGCCTGGGCCAGCTGGGCAAAGAGCTCCAGGTGCTCAAAGCACGAAGAGTTCAGGGACAAAGGGCCGATTTTTGTGTTTTGGGAAAGATGATGTTTTTGTGGACTAACTCACACGCATCCGCCAAAGCGAACAAGAATCCTTGACACCTTTGATGGTAACGGCAAGTTGAGAGACTAACGACATGACCAAGGGGGTTTGGTCACGGGCTTGGAGCTGTGTCCGGGCTGACGCTGGCGCAGGAGAGGCAGCAGACTGTCGCGGAGTGGCTTTGGCAGCATGTTGAATCACGGAGCTTGCAGACCGTGTTCTCGTGCCAGGCACATGGAATGACGCAGCAGTAGCAACTTAGCAATAGCAACTGCATGAAATTTCCAACTCTCAGCGGGAGGTTTGCCAAGAATCGACGATTGGTTCAAGCTTGCTTGCCTGTTCTCCAGGCTTTTTCGCGAAGTCAGCGGATGGTGGCAAGTGTGGCAGAAGGAGCCGCGAATGAGTCGGCGAGTGGGAAACCTGCACCCTCGCATTGCCCCGATAATTGGCTTTATAGGGCCAGACTTGGGGGTTGCGCATCGGACCGAGGACGTGCCCGCGCAGCTCGTGCCCCAGTCAATGTGCTGTGCATGTGACAAGCGCACAACATGACTGGCACGACCGGCGGTCGCCCTCGTGCTAGCAACTTGGAACCATTCCATCATCAGGCTGCTGCGACCTGTCCAGAAGAATCAAGAACAAAAGCTGGCACTGGAGAAGAGAATAGGCAAGGGGACATCCGACGAGAACGTGTTGCACGTGTGCATGGTTCCCGTAGTATACGGAACAGCGACTCACACGAAGATGCGACGTGCAATTGTCGTGCATGTGGTCTTCTGGCTCGGCAGCAACGCTGTGCCCATTGTCCCAGTCTTGACAGCAACACTTTGACTTGGCAAGGCCTAAGTTGCACAAAGTCAGCCTAGCATCTCGTTTAATAGGCAGAGCAGCATTGGAGAGCAGGGCGTCCTGCGGTTTCCATGAGCCGAGAAGATCTCAGCGAGCCGGAAGAGACGTCGCCAGTGCCTCGCAAGCGCCGCAAAGAACAAGAAGCTGCTGCGCAGCCCGCGGTCACAGCGGTCCACGAGCCGACCCAGGCCCAGGCCGGTGCCGACACAGACAGCGAAGCAGAGAAGTCCCGCAGGTGCCAGCACGCACCATACATGTGCGAGTGCTTTCGATATCCGGCGAAACATTGTGATTTGGCAGCATTTGCTATAGCTGCTAGGTTCCCAAGTGCTTCCACCTGTCTGCGAAAATTCGTTGTGCATCAAGGCTCACTCTTCCACGAGCCGATCGCTGCTGGACGGTGATGAGGTTGAAGGTCCATGTCTTCAGTTGGCTGTGCTGTGCAGCGCGTCTGTCCCTGTGTTTGCCTGTGGTTTGGAGGAGCTTGTGGAGGCGGCGCTGCGGCGCCCAAGATGCACGCAACGCCTCCTTCTGCAGCACGAGGACTTGGAGAAGGCGGACGGGGCTTTGCAATGAAGGCTATCGGGAGACGATGACAGCCTTTGTCTGCCTTCGCTTGCAGCAGTCGTGATGCGTAATTAGATAGCAGTTCACGAACGGCATGAAAAAGTCTTCGACAGCAGGAACAAGACAGAATTGAAACAACTATCGGGCTGTGCGCAGAGCTTCCACTACTGGGGTTCCAATCACGTGTCAGCGGTACAGACGCTTCAGTATCTCGTCAACCTCAAGTTCGTTAGGCGAACTCATCTGACGAACAGAGCACTGGAGTGTCAGAGTTGTTGTTGTTCTGTGCGTGCTAGGTGCTCGGTATTAACTGTTTTGCCACCTTTGCGTTAAGAGTGTTCGAATTGCTGCCGTCAATGCCAAAGCGCTTCTATGCAGCGCTTGATGTGAGGCAGTGATGCCGGTCGTGTGGAGTAGTTGTTGTCACTGCATCTCGTCTTCACCTCTGTCGCGCACAACTTGTGAAAGTTTGATGGTGCAAACAGACATCTAAGCCCCGGAACTCAAACGGGCTTCTGAACCAGCTCATAAGTTAGGTTGCTTATTGCACTGACGCCAATGGAATGGCAAGGCGGGTGGAAGAGTCTCTAGCTGCCAAATCGGGGGCGTGGCTGCATCGCCTAGACTGGAACGTGCCACTTTGTTTAGGATGTCCCTGTTGGTCAAGACTGAAGCACGTGTCGGTCAGGTTTTCGACAGCAGCTCCGACACCATCTGTATCCGACATGAATCACCCGAACGACTTGACTGCCAACAAGACAACCCACGAGCTGTTGTGCAACCGCGATTTGCCAAGACACGATGCGAAATTCAACTAGGGCGCTTCAGAAGGCGGCAAGACGAACGACAGTAACGATGTTGCAGAACACGTGATTCGCGCCACAAAGTGTGACACCATCAAGACAAGTCGATATGCTGTGACGATAATGCGCTCGGTAATGGAGGAATGGAGGTTTAAACTTTACTTGGTTTTGCACACCTGTCCAAATGACCATACTCCTGTCACAGTGAAAGCATGCGAGAACGATTCCGGATCCCTGTGAGTATAGTCGTGTTGTGCCAGCCTGAAAATTTGCAATGCGCCTCTCGCCAGAAGAGAAGGATCGAGACGCGAAGCCGAATGCTGCCCATGTTTAGTGAACCCGCAGAGCATAACCTTTGTTGCCCCGCTCCGGAATCGGTCTATCAACCCTGATGGTGGGTTCGGCGCAACCTGTCCTAGGATGCCTTCACTTCAGGATGCGAACCAAGACTTTCGCAGTTTGGCCGGGCTGCTCCCTGAGGCCTGTCGGCCTTCAAGCGGCAGGTACAGGTGCTGATGTCCCTCATCAGAAATCCCAGCATGAGAGACTACAGTGCAACCCCGTTCTGCCACTCTGGGAGTGCCCGCACCTGTGCGGCAAGTAGTGTCATGTCCCGATCAGGGAGCGGCTGAGCTGGACATTACTTTGCTCAAGCAGGAGGCTCGTCCCAGCGCGCTCTACGAAGAGGTGGGGGTTCTTCGGAGATGGAATCGGGATGGAGCTCATGGCCTAGTCTGTCTAGCTGACTGACCTGCGGCCTCGCTTTTTGGATGAGTTTGCATTCCGAGTTCGAAGTTGGCCCAATATGCATACGACGCTCGAGTCGCCAACTTATGTACCGCTGTCGTGAGGTCCCTGCTAGGTGGCCCTACCCCATTTAAGCAAGGTTGTCCCGCTTGTGACTTGCAGCGATCAAAACCAGTATAACACTTAAGAACTTAAGAAAGCACCTTCCAATCAATACGAGCAAGTTACACAGTTCCTAAAGTTAGGAACAGTCACCGCCGCTGCACAATTGCCCGCTGGCACAAACTGAGATTTGAGGGGGGTGGGGGGGGGGGGGAGGCAGGTCGGCCAATTTACATGATTCGAGATTTTGCTGCTCTCGTTTCTAGGATTTTGAGCCAGCCGTGCCAGTAGGCAGCAGAATGTATACCCACATGAATTGCCGGCTGCGATGCCCGGAGGCTCTCATACACTGGGAGCCGCCCCACCTTCCCACACACATGCGCGCACCTGTTGTGAATCTCGCCTGTGGAACTTTGCGTGATGAATCTAGAAAACACAGACATCCAACCTGTTGCGGAATCTTACACGCAATAGTCAATAGTTTATTGTTGAAGTTGGTCTCCATTCAAGCACACATTGACTTTCTGTCTCTCATTGATTCACCTGAGTCATTGATGTTTCAAATTCGATTGAGGCTATGCTGCAAGCAAGTCGCTCCAATTCTGACAAGTTCTCCATCCCTCAAGCAGCTCAAAAACTGATGATTTTATGTTGCCGAGCCTTTTCGTGTATGGCCCGGCAAAGAGCTGGCACATTGACATGACAGGACGGATGGATGGACGGGCGGACACACAGACAGACAGACAGACAGACAGACAGACAGACAGACAGAGCATCTTGAGATGAATGTCTTCGAAAGGAGTGCCATGGAAACGTTTGAGTCTTTCGCACTCTGCTGACATTGGGAAACTACAGACACTACAGGAGTAGAGGAGGTTCTGGGAGGCCGTGGAGATCATCTCTGCATCCGAAGATTCTGGCGAAACCCAGCATGAGCAGAGCACAAATAGTCTTGGTTAAACTGCAGACGGGTGTACCCAGTGTCGTGTCCAACGGTCTATCCTGCTCCGAAGTAGACAAACAGTTTCAGCTTGTTAATGATGTGCCCTATTTCAAGAACATCGATGTTGATCGCCAAACAAATGAGAAAATTCATAAGTTGCTAATTTTTTGTTTGTGTTCAAATCATTGACAGTAATAGCCTGACAGAACCTTAGATAGAGAGAGTGTACAGACAAGTTTAAGGCATGTTCCGTCGGGAAACAGAAAGCTAAGGCAGCGATTTTTAGCGGTTTCTCCCTCTCTCTCTCTCTCACTCTCTCTTTCTCTGAATCTGTCTGTCTCCCCTTCTCTCGCTGGCTCGCTCGCGCTCTCTCTTTCTCCCGGTGGCAGGGCCGGGTTAAAAAGTGGAGCAGCCAATCGTAAAGCAAAATGGCAATGGCAAGCCAACACAGTCAGCAAACAAGATATGAGTGCTGTAAGAGTTGTCAACGGCCACCTGAACCTGTAACAGTCGGCAGCATTAACAAAGTCAGCCTTATGGGCAACAGCGTGGCTACAGTTGTGACTCGGCCCGGGCCATTACTTTCGCAACATAAGGGCGTCGCATGGTACCTGTATGACTGCAGGAGACCCCCCTACCACAGAATAATCTCCTTTTCTTTGTGCAAGCTGAGAAGCCCTAGGGTGCCGTCGTGTCAACAGACCGACAGTCGTTGCCATGAGGCCAAAGCAGGCAGAGGACGATCTTTCTGACCTTGGGGTTTCAGGTGTCCGGCTGCACGAGATGTGTTGTGTCCCTGCCGGTTGTGCTGAGTGCCAGATGTGCGTGCGAGACGTAATCTGGTCACGAGGAGGGAGCTGCTTGGCGCTTCTGCAGCTTGCCGACAACCAGAAGCTCATAAACCATGTAGATGCAGATGCTGGGCGGCAGGTTATACCTTGTAAGCTGCTTGTTTGTTATGCAGGAGCTGTTGTCGGGAAGCCATGGGCATTGACTCAGGCCTCGCAGCAGAGTTTCTCGGAACCGATACTTGCTGCTCGTGAAGAGTAAATTCGATCCGACGAACAGCCCAGGCGTTCTACACATCGCAGCAGCAATGAGACTGGGAGCCGCTTGCCTTGGCATCGCTGCATGCCCGGAATTCGAGCACGTCAACCTGATCGACAGGCGCAGGACGACAAGGGCTGAACAGATGCCCCGAAGGAGCCTCGAAAAGCGCCCCTCCCCTGCAGGAACTGGACCGCCCTGCATTGGGCCGTCTTTTCAAACATGCCGGATGCACCTCAGAAGCAGCCGCAGAGTCCTTTCAGACATGGCACGGATGGCCGTCTAGTCAGGTTTGTACGGCAATCCTATCTCGGAAAGACTTCCGACAAGGCAGCGCCCCTTCAGCTCGGTTAGAATTCGGCTGCTTCAAGGGCTATGATTAATCAGGCCTCACAAGTTAGACTGATGAAGGCAAATCCATCACTGCATCTGTAGATTGAGGACCCGGAAGGTCTGTTGTTCAGGCAGTTGCCGGGCATGGCGCCTTCTCAGCCTGAGTGACGTAAAGGCCATACCATGCCAGAAGGAAGAGGGTGCATCCAGTCGTCGCTTGTTCGTTCTCACAGGCAACAAGGCGCCAGAGCTACGTGGTTAATCAGCTGTGTTCCCCAGAAATCTGTCCCTTGAAATGATACCTCCCGACAGAACGCAAGAAGGCAGAATTGTAGCAAAAAGCCCAGAAGGCTGTCCCTCAGTAATACCTGTCAACCATCCAGGTGGCCATAGAGACGACAGTGGCGAGACGGCCTTGGATCGGGCAATAGAAGCAGGACCCAAGCACGCAGGTGGAACTGGTGTTTAGAGATTTGCGCCCAACTGGACATGCACTTTCCTCGGTTTCCGGCAGGATATCGCGAATGCATCTTTGCCATGGTCACAGAGCTGCAATTTGCAAAGATTTCATACGAGAGACGAAGCCATGCCTGCTGCCGCCTGCTACCGAAAAGCTGACCAGGTGCCTCTTCTCAGCACAAAGGATTTGCTGAGTTCACCACTTCCGATGCCTGTATTGCACCTTGGCCATCAAGGGGTTTTGTTTTGCGATCATTGCAACCGAGCTACGGCTGCAGTCCAAGTCCCACGCCGCCAAAGCCCAGGATCAATCCGGAGGATCGCGGACGCATCCATCTGGTTGCTCATGGGGACAAAGACATTGCTGAAGCGATCCAAGAGACCTTGGCAAAGCGAAAGCAGTCAGTTGCTTTTCAAGCATTGGACCGCGACCGCAGGGGGTGTTCTTCAGAGCCTGTTAGTTCTTCATGTCGTGTAACATGTGCGAGAGTTGTAAGTACTGCGCACAAAGGTGGTTGTCTTTGCCTTCTTGTCGTGCTCACCCTAAGGAAGGCTGGTGATGACCATGCTCTGCGCTGCTACAAGGGCTGCTCAGTGAACGCGAAAGCAGCGTTCAGGGTGTGTGTGTGTGTGTGCGTGCAAAAAAGTCACTTCCTTGGAGCAGACGGCATTGTGTTCATTCTGGCATCATGTTGCTGCTGATCAATCGCCTCGTGCAGGTGAGCTTCGCAGCATGCTTAAAAATGAGCGTGAGCAGAGACATCAGGACACGGGATGGGTTTGCCTTCCCGTGGTCGTGTGTCAGTGACGTTGATGAAATGGCTTTCAGTCGCTACTCGTATCTGTGCTCACAGGACAACATGGATTGGGGCCGAAAGTACGGGCGGCGCGCTCTGCATCGCATGTGCTCATAAAACAACTGAGAGGTACCAATCGGACGAGTTCTGTCGGACGTACTCTCTTCAAAGGCTTGAAATTGAACTCATAGACTGTCGGCATCGACCGAGGGAAATGCAGACGGACAAGGAGGACTTGCAAGCCAGACTGAGCAGGAGTGCCTGTCATCGTGGATTTTTTGTGGGCATCTGTGCTCTTGCCATAGTCTTGCTGTGTTTGATGAGTTGGTCGATGCTTACGGCCCGGCCGTTCCCTTGACAGGGAGTGCTCGCAGCTTGAGTCGCGGCTTCAGGCGGACGAGCAGCTTCTCCGCGGCTAAGCTTAGACCTGGACTGACTTCACGCCAATAAGCCTAATAATTTGCAAAGCGCTGCGCAATCCGTGCTCTGTAATTGTGCCCGCCTCCCCCCTGTATTTACAAGCCCGTGTTATTGATTTTGGGGTCGGGTCGGTTGGTCGGTTGGAACGCGGCAATGATTTGTCAGGATAGTAGTAATTAGCAGTAGAAGAAGTAGTAGCAGCAGCAGCAGGAGTAGGAGTAGGAGTAGGAGTAGGCGTAGTAGTAGTAGTAGTAGTAGTAGTAGCAGCAGGAGTCGTAGTAGTAGTAGTAGTAGTAGCAGGAGTAGTAGTAGTAGTAGTAGTAGTAGGAGTAGGAGTAGTAGTAGTAGTAGTAGTAGTAGTAGTAGTAGGATTTGTAGTAGTAGTAGTAGTAGTAGTAGGAGTAGTAGTAGTAGTAGTAGTAGTAGCAGTAGTAGTAGTAGCGGCAACAATAACAACAATTATGGCAGCAGTGGTATTAAATATACCAAAGCTGTTCTACTGTTACTTTGTTGTTTGTTGTCATTGGTTGTTGGTTGTTGCGCGGTTCTGGGTTTAGCTTGTTGTTTCCAACTTGTTTGGTTGTTGTTTCTGGATCCTTGGCTGTGTACCTGCTCTTAGCTGTCTCGTTTGCTTTGTTGCAGCAAGAGAAGCTTGTGCAAGTCCTGTCAATGTCAACAACACAGCCAATCCCGGAAATTACGGAACAAAAGCCATGTCCAGGCGAACATCGTTCATTCATACCTTTCGTGTCGTCAGGGGAACGGCTATTCTGTTCTGGCCACTAGCATCACTGCTGCTATCATCTTTATCACTCGTATCTTTCCAGTTGTTTATGTCTCGCGCTCTCTCTGTCTGTCCCTCTCTCTATCTCTCTCTCTCTCTCTCTCTCTCTCTCTTTCTGTGCGCTTTCATCATTGCCATCTAGCTTTCTGTCATGATTGCGTGCTTTCATGTGTCAAAAAGGTGCTATCAGCTACAGACCCTGTGGCCGTGGTCGCCTTGTTCAACACGCTGGGTGTGTCGCCTCGCCTCACGATGTCTCCTGGCCTTGAGTCTGACGCACTAAGACCTTCCAGGTACTACTGATTGTGACCGTCTATTCTTACTACTCCCTATCCGTGGGTACCTGTGTCAAGTTTTTACGCTAATTACAGAGAAATTGCCGGACAGGATTCTGTAGATGGATTTGAGGTGCAGTTTTTGTGATTCTGTTTGGGTGGTCAGATACCAGTTAGGCCGCCGTATATATAATTACTCACCACGGCGCGGCGTCGTGTCCGTAAATGAAGACCCTGCGCCGACACAGAGGACTTGGTGTGCTGGGCTCAATCCTAGTTACAGCATGCTCAGTAGTCATCAGCATTCCGGTCGACACGTCCTTGCACGCTTTTGAGCACTTGTGTTTTCTGATGTAAGATAGCGGACAGTGGTTTCGAATGCCAGAATTGTGCCGCAAAGCCTCACGGTCGAATCCGAAGTTTGAGGGATGCATAAGCAACTAGGCAGTCGAGGTAGCACAGGTGTCCTTGCCGCGGGAATCTCTTGCTGAGAGTGCCAGTGGCAATTCACCATGGATCTCCGATGCGGATCTTTTAGCAGCGATGCCTGTTCTTGTCTGAGTAATTACTTGACTTCTGATGCTCAGAATCTGAATCAGCATGCTCTGTGGACCGTCGTTTCGAGGACCCTCTAAACCGCAAACTCAGGGCTCATGGGCTTCAAGCGGTTGTCATAGCAGCCCGGCTCAGGTTACGTCAAGCACAGAAATATGGAAGTAGTAGACCTTTCACCTCAACCTTTCGTTGGCTCAGCATTGCCCGTGCGATAGTCTGAACTGCAGCAGACGATTTCGAGGAACACCTACTCCTGGTGGTTGTTAAGGAGGTTCAGACGAAGACAGTCACCAATGGCTGGGGAAGAGCGTTTCTTCAGCCTTTACCTGACAATTGGAAACCACAGCTGACTAAGCTCTTTCCAGAGGAGGTCACCTCGAAATCCTGGGCCGGGCCGCTTAAAGTGTCCCGGCCCCTTTCACCGGGTTGCCGTCAGAGGGCACCACCTGACTGCAATAACAAGGCTACACTACGACGAACCGACATCAGTTTAAGGATAGTGCGTTGCTTGAACAGGACCCCCACTTCTACTTCTGCGATTTCTGCTGCTGCTCCCACTCCCACACAGATTCACGAGCATTAGTATTGTTGGCACTACTACTACTACTACTACTACTACTACTACGTTTAAAACCCCTGGTTAAGCGCCCC